CAGCCCTGTCCATCCATCTGCATCTGCACCAACTGCTTCTGGTGAAGCAACAAGTGGCAGAGCAGCAGATCCAAGAAATGGCAGAGACAGGAGTCATCTAACAAGGACGGGTCACGTTGCTTTTACTTCAACTCTCCACGATTGAATGCGGTAACAAAGAATGACTCCCTTTTGCTTCCATGCATCACTGGGTCAACAAGGTTCAGCCCCTTAGACCTCTGGAGTGGCTACTGGCAGGTCGAACTGTCCCCAGAAACCCACCCCAAGACCACCATCGGTCACAGGCTATGACACTTCTGGTCAATTTCATTCAGCCTGTGTAACAGCCTGGCCACCTTCGAGAGGCTAAGGGAGCATGTCCCAGCTCACCTGGACCTAGTGCATCATCAGTATGGATGATCTGCTGCTCCACGCCGCTGATTTTCCCGGGACATTGTGGAACTTAAAGACAGTGTTTGCAGGGATCCTCTGGGAGGGATGTGGCTGAACCCCTGGAAGTCATGATGCACTTCCAGGGCCACGTCATCAGGGGGAGGGTGTGGCCACCGACCCGCAGAAGACAGCAGCTGTGTGAGACTGGCCCCCTGCACAGACTGTAGCAGAGCTGCACAGCTTCCTGGGGATAGTGTCATATTACCAACACTCTGTTAAGGACTTCACCAGCATGGCAAACACTGTTGAAGGGTAAAGTGTCGAGAGGCCTCAGGGTCGGGCAAAAGACAACAAAAACATCCAAAAATGATGTGAAATGTCAATTAGCGAAGATCCCACAAAGCCAGTCTTCACTGTGACCATCAACAATCTGAGAGTTCCTACTGGTGTGGTGTGGAGATCAGTGGAGGTTCAGCTGTGGGAACACCGGTCTCCTTGTCAGTCACTGCGGGTAAGATGTCTGTACTGCATACTGTTGGCAATGAGATGCACAGTATGTAACATGTCATTCATGTTTGGTCATTCAGGGACCAAATTTTAGTTTTGATGAGCACCATTAATGAGACCAGGGAGAGGTAACAGTAAATGTGCTACTTCAGGCAGTTAAATATGAGAAGCAACACATTCAAAAATGTAAGTTGGTTTGAATTTTAAGTAGAAATCTTGTAGAAAAGGAAAATTATAAATAAACATTCTGTAAAAGTCAGTTTGGCAATCAGTTACTGCTATTTGACCTATACAAGTGAACAAGTAAACAAGATGGCGGCGCGCTAGGACACAGCGACCACACCGGGCTCCAATCTTGGTGCGGATTTCGTGATTTATTGTGTTTTTGTTCCGCTTCAAAATGGTTATAAAGTGCGTCAGAACTATGGACAAACACACTTATGACCTTCATCAACTGCTGCATATTAGAAAACGCCAAAAAACTCGTCCAGATAGAGAAACGCTGGAACAACTGCATCGCCTCGGCATTCTCCGAGCCCCGATTAAGCGGACTGCGGTACCACCAAGACCACGCGACCATCCGGAAGCTCGGCGAAAGTGGTGTGCGAGGAAGCGGAAGCGCGGTAAGCGAGCCGGCATCCATGCTAGGCTAAAAGCCAACCATAGCTGACCGACGCTGCCATCGCTTCTCCTCTCCAACGTTCGCTCCTTGGACAATAAACTGGACTGCGTACGACTTCTCCTGACCTCCCGGAATGAGATAAGGCACTGTTGTGTTTTTATTTTTACCGAGACGTGGCTGCATGACGGCATCGCGGACTCCGCTATCCAGCTGGACGCACTAACCAGCTACCGCGCCGACAGGAGCACCTCATCGGGGAAGACGCGCGGCGGCGGGCTGTGTGTTTACATCAATATCAGCTGGTGTAGAAATTCTGCAATCGTCTCTGTGCACTGTTTGGAACTCATGGAGGGTTTAACAGTCAGATGCAGACCGTTTTACATCCCGAGAGAGTTTACTGCGGTGATCATCATTGCTATTTACATCCCGCCTAGCGCTAGTGCTAATGCTAAAGCTAGTGGTGCACTCGGTGAACTCTACCAGATTATCAGCGATCTACAGACAGTCCGCCCGGAGGGCTTCTTCATCGTCGTGGGGGATTTCAACAAAGCTTCACTTAAGTCAGTTCTACCAAAGTGTCATCAGAACATTGACTTTGCAACAAGAGGGGACAATATGCTTGACCTTGTTTACACAAACATCCAGCGGGCATACAGGGCTGCACCCCTCCCCCACCTCGGACAATCAGACGACATTTCCTTACTTCTCACCCCAGTCTACAGACCCATTGTTAAGCAGATCAGACCAGCCATCAGAGATGTGAAAACATTGCCCCAGGAGGCCATCTCTGCCCTTCAGGACTGTTTTGCCTGCACAGACTGGGAAATGTTCAGAGAAGCAGCTGCCTATGAACACTCAGTGGACTTGGAAGAGTACACTTGGAAGAGTACACAGAGTCACTAGCTCTATGGTTGTTAACTTCAGGAAGAAGACGGCGGCACACACACACATCGATGGGTCTGCGGTCGAGATCGTCAACAGCGTGAAGTTCCTAGGTGTGCACATGACTGACGACCTCTCCTGCAGCCTCAACACCACCTCCATCACTAAGAAAGCCCAGCAAAGACCTCACTTCCTCCGTAAGCTGAAGAAGGCCAGGCTCCCTCCTCCCATCCTCACATCATTCTTCCGAGGGACCATTGAGAGTGTACTCTGCTGCTACATCACTGTCTGGTACGGAAACTGCACCATCGCTGAGCAGAAGGCCCTACAGCGGATAGTGAGGACAGCAGAGCGCATCGTCGGGGTTCCTCTCCCACCCATCTCCCAGCTGTACGAGAAGCACCTCATCCGTCGAGCCTGCAGCATCGGGAAGGACTCCTTTCACCCCTCACATGCACTGTTCTCCCTCATGCCATCTGGCAGACGGTTCCGAAGCATCAAAACTCTAACTGCCAGACACTGCAGGAGCTTCTTCCCACAAGCAGTCAGAGCTCTAAACTCACTGCCACCACCAAAGAACTGATCAAATCACACACATGCTAAATCTCAGACAACTTTTTTTGAACAAATTTTAGACATTGCACAATTTCATAAACTCTATAAATATGCACAAATATTCACAATTCTAACTCCTGCTAAATATGCACAATTCTACCTCCTACTAAAGTTGCTCATGCTT